GTCATCCCACAACTCTTCTGGTCTTCGGTCTTTAGTGTTTAATGCATCAAATCTGTTCTTCAGATGATCTCTAAATTCAGGTAGGATATATTCAAAGTCATACTTTGGCTCACGTGGACTTGTTTTAATTTTCTTCAGCTTTAGTTTGAATTTGCATATGAGTAATTGATTGTCTGTTCCACAGTCTGCCCCGGCCTTGTTTTCACTGATGATATGGAGCTTTCCCATCATCTCTTTCTGCAGATGTTGTCGATTTGATTTCTATGTATTCCATCTGGTGAGGTCCATGTATATATTTATCTGTTATGCTGTCTAAAGAAGGTATTTGAAATGAGCAAATCACTGCTTTTGCAGAATTCTATCATGTGTTCTCTGTATCATTTCTATCTCCAAGGCCATATTTTCCAACTACTGATCCTTTCTCATTACTCCCAACTTTTGCATTCCAATCACCAGTAATGATCAGTACATCTTGATTGCATATTTGATCAATTTCAGATTGAAGAAGTTGATAGAATTCTTCTATTTCATCTTCACTGGCTTTAGTGGCTGGTGCATAAATTTGAATAATTGTGGTATTAACTGGGCTCCCTGTAGGCACATGGATATTATCCTATCACAGACAGCATTGTACCTCATGACTTATCTGGATGTGTTCTTTTTGACTATGAATGCAACACCATTCCTCCTCAATTTGTCTTTCCTGGCATAGTAAACCATGTGGTTGTCAGATTCAAAATGGCCAATACCAGTCCATTTCAGCTCGCCAGTGCCTAAGATATCGATGTTTATGTGTTCAATTTCATTCTTGACTGTTTCCAGTTTTCCCAGTTCATACTTCATACATTCCATGTTCTGATTTTCAATGGATGTTTACAGCTGTTTGTTTTCATTTTGAGTTGTGCCCCAGCAGCAATTGAATGTCCCACAGGCTTTTCTCCCACAGGCTTTACTCCATTCACGTTATCATGGTCAACTCGACTTTGAGGAGGCAGCTCTTCCCTAGTTGTGGAGAAAAGTCAGTAACTGGGAAGGAAGGAAGAAGCTAGGAGATGTTACAAAAAGCAAAACTGCAAGTTTGTTTTGCCTGAAAAGTACTGTGATAATCACAGCACAAGTGACCACTTTGAGTTGTCTGTTGTTGCTATGACTATAGGAATGCTTGGTTTTGAATCATTAATATTTGCTTTATTAAGCAAGATAAGAAACTGACTCAAATGATAGAGAATCCTTGCCTTTGATGGTGAGACTATTATAAATGGTATATATTCTCTTGACTTAAATTATGAGTTGAGAATTGGATTTACTCCTTTAAATGAACTTCTCAAAAATTTTTTTCATTTTATAAACTCACTATATCTATATTTAATGACCCTTTTAAGAAATTTTAATGTTGAATCGTCATTATATCTCCTTCTTGCATTTGAGTAAATAATACAAAATATTTTCCTTACAGAAAATTTCAAGAGCACCTACAAGTTCCAGAACTGTTGATGTCCCTTCAATTCCTTGTGGACGGGTATATGGTTATCAAATTAAAGAAGATGACACCATTATAAAACAGTTCCCACCTGCTCATGACAGCACACTAGGTCCAGCATTCTATAAACCTCAATATGTAAGTATGTTGTTGTTGTTAGGTGCAGTTGAGCCAATTGTGATATATAGCAGCCCTGTGCACAACAGAGTAAAACACTGCCTGATACTCCATCATCCTTACAACTGCTGTTGTGTTTCAGCCCATTGTTGCTGTCACTCTGTCAGTCCATATCATTGGGGTCTTCCTTCACTGAACCTCTCCTTAACCAAGTATGATGTCCTTCTCCAGAGACTGGTCCTTCCTAACTATATGTCCAAAGTACAAAAGACGAAGTCTCCTCGTCCTTGCTTCTAATGAGCACTTCTTCCAACACAGATTTGTTTGTTATTTTAGCAGTCCATGATGCTTTTAATATTCTTCACCAATACCATAATTCAAACTGTATCAATTATCCTATGATCTTTCTTATTCATTGTCCAACTTTCACATGCATATGAGGTAGTTGAAAACACTATAATTTGGTCAGATACACCTTAGTCCTCAAAGTGAAATCTTTGCTCTGTAACACATTAAAAAGAAAAAGAAAAAAAAAAAAATTTGTAGTAGATTTGCCCAATGCAATACACCATTTGATTTCTTGACTGCTGCTTCTATGATCATTGATTATGGATCTAAACAAAATGAAATCTTGGACAACTTCAATCTTTTGTTTGTTTATCATGATATTAGTGTGCTTTATATTGACAGTTGGAAGATTGTTTATGATCATGCACATACTAGTTAATATAATACTAACTGCTTTAACAAATAGACCCCCAATTTCAATGACTTAACACAGAGTTTTTTGTTTTTTCCCTCCTCATTCATACTGGCATTCTCTATTGACAAATGCCTTTACTCCATATGGAAATTCTTGGACCCAGGGTTTTTCATTCATGTTTTTCTCATTCCTTAAGATCTCTCTCTCCTCTCTCTAATTTTTATTGTGAATTGAGAGAAGGTTTATGGGGTAAATCATCATTTTTACATAAAAAAAATCATCAATGATTATAATCCCCTCTATGCATCATTAGCTACCAGTATTTACCTCTATTACCGTTTTTCCTCCCCCTCTGGAAGGAGATATGTTCATTGCTTTAATAACAGAACAGAACATTGCTATATCAGCACTTGTTGTGAATATCCTCAAGCACAGCAATCACACACAACAAAATTTGAATAAAACATTACTGACTGTATACTCATTAACTAGGATCTTGGTATTAGGTGTATCCAGTTGACAGAAATAGAAAGTGTATGGAGGATTGCAAGTGGGAGGCTTTTGTGGGAGCCAAAGCTCAGCCATGTTTAACTGCTAAGGTGACTGGGAAATGTAGACTGAATATCTAGGAAGAAAAGGGCAAGTTTTAATTGTTAGAAGTGTTCTTCATTATGTATAAACATATGAAATACATAGATGCACTTTTCTTGATTGTGAAAATAAATAAGAACTTTTTATTTATAAAAGAATTTGAATCTGATACATATGTTGTATGCCTAAAAGAAGACAAGTTAATACCACATATTCAACTTTACACACCTATCACTAAAGCCAGTCATGATGAAATTCAATAATTTGACTAACTTCTTCAGTCTGAAATAGATCAAATATGCAATCAAGATTTGATAATTACTGGTGATTGGAATGCAAAGGTAGGAAACAAAGAGGAAGGATCAGTGGTTGGAAAATATGGCTTTGGTGATATAAAGGATGCTAGAGACCACATGATAGAATTTTGCAGTACCAATGATTTGTTCATTGCAAATACCTTTTTAAAACAACATAAAAGATGATTATGCACATGGACCTCACCAGATGGAATACACAAAATTCAAATTGACTACATCTGTGGAAAGAGAAGGTGGAAAAAGTCCATATCATCAGCCAAAACAAGGCCAGGGGCAGACTGTGGAACAGACCATGAATTACTGATATGCAAATTCAGGCTGAAGCTGAAGCAAATTAAAACTAGACCATGAGAGCCAAAATATGACCTTGAATATATCCCACCTGAATTTAGAGGTCATTTGAAGAACAAATTTTATGCATTAGACACTAAAGACCAAAAACCAGAAAAGTTGTGGGATGACTTCAATAACATCATAAAGGAAGAAACCAAAAGGTCATTGAGAAGACAAGAAAAAAGGAAAAGACCAAAATGGATGTCAGAGAGATGTTGAAACTTGCTTTCCAGTGTAGAGATGTTAAAGCTAATGGAAGTGAGGAAGTACAAAAGCTGAACATAAAATTTCAAAGGTCAGCTTGAAAAGGCAAAGTCAAATATTGTAACAAAATGTGCCAATACCAAAAGGGAAGAACACTCTAAGCATTTCTCAAGTTTATGGAGTTGAAGGAAAAATTCAAACCTTGACTTGCAGTATTGAACCTGCAATATGCAGATGATACAACCTAGCTTGCTGAAAGTGAAGAGGACTTAAAACATTTACTGATGAAGATCAAAGAGCACAGCCTTCCATATGGGTTGCATCTCAATGTCAGGAAAAAAAAATCCTCACCACTGGACCAATAAACAACATTCTTATCAATGGAGAAAAGATTGAAATTGTCAAGACTTCATTCTTCTTGGATCAACTATCAACACTCGTGGAAGCAGTAGTCAAGAAATCAGACAACGTATTGTATTGGGCAAATCTGCTGCACAGGAACTTTTTAAAGTGTTGAAGAGCAGAGATGTCAGCTTGAGGACTAAGGTGTGCCTGACCCAAGCCATGGTATTTTCAATAACCTCACATGCATGCAAAAGCTGGATAGTGAATAAGGAAGATCGTAGAAAAATTGATGCCTTTGAGTTATGGTGTTGGAGGAGAATACTGAAAGTGCCATGGACTGCCAAAAGAACCAATAGATCTGTTTTAGAAGTGCAGCCAGAGTGCTCCTTGAAGGCCAGGATGGCCAGACTTAGTCTCTCATATTTTGGACATATTGTTAGGAGGGAACAGTAGCTGGAGAAGGATGTCATGCTGGGTAAGATGGAGGGTCAGATAAAAAGAGGAAGACCCCCAATGAGATGGATCATCCAGGTGGCAACATTGATGGCGTCAAGTGTGGCAGCGGTAGTGAGGTTGGCACAGGATCGGACATTGTTTTGTTCTGCTGTGCATGGGGTCGCTATGAGTCGGTTCTGACTTGATGGCACCTGGCAACAACAACAACAACATGGGCAAAATACTGAATGATGCAGAAAGCATCAAAAGAAGGTGGAAGAAACACACAGTCACTGTACCAAAAAGGAAAAAAAAAAAAAAAAAGGTCAGTGTCCAGCTATTTCAAGAGGTAGCATATGATCAAGAGTCAATGATCCTGAATGAAAAGTCCAAGGTGCATTGAAATCATTGGCAAAGAACAAGGAGTGCTTGGAATTGATATAATACAAATTTCATTTGAAGTGTAGGTATTTGTTATGTTCTTTTGTTCAAATGACCTTTTAATCGTGATATAATGTCCTTCTTTATTTTATGCTGGATTTTGCTTTAAATTCTATTTGATCAGAGATTAATATTGCCACTCCTGCTCATAACTGATTGTCTCTAGCTTGGTGTATTTTTTCCATCTTTGGGAATTTATTCTGATTTTGTCTTTGTGTATAAGTCATGCATCTTACAAGCTGCAGAATCGAAGGATCCTGCTTTCTTACCCATTCTGTTCTCAGTCCTTTGACCGGTGCATTTAATCTATTGAAATTCAGTGTAATTATCAATATATATGAAATGATTGTTGTAATTTTGTTGTGTGTGGGTTTTTTTTGTTTTTTTTTGTTTTTTGTTTTTGTGTGTGTGTGTGAGTGATGGTTTACAGACAAGATCCAGAGTTTTATATTCAGTAAGTCATATGCTTTGTTTCATCTCAATGATTACAATCCCTTCCAATACAACAACAGTTGTCCCACTTCCTCCCTGTGGTTACCTGTGTACAAATATCCTCTTTCAAACCTTATACATTTGTTGGATATATAAATATACATAAATACCACTTTTCTTCCTGTGCCCAATCAGCCTGTACCTCTTTCCATGCATCTGCACATAGAACACTGTTGTTCCAAGGTTATATATATGTCATTATTTACTTCTGTCCCTTTTAGCTCTTGCATACCACCATGTGTCTTCATGTATTTTCATCATTCTTCTGCCAACCTCCCTCTTCTTATATATTGACCTCCTGTCACTCTAGTTAACATGTGTCTACCTTCTAGCCAGTAAATTACTCTCCCTTCCCTCTCACCACTGGTAACCATTAAAAAATGTTTCTTTTTAGTATGAAAACTGTTTCCTGAGTTTTTACAATAGTAGTATCATACAATATATGTCCTTTAGTGATTGACTAATTTCTGCTCCCGTAAAGATTTACATCCTCAGAAACCCTGTACAGGGTTGCTATGAGTCAGAACCAACTCCACGGCACATAACAACAACAATAACAATGTCCTCTAGTTTCATCCATTTATGAGGTATTTCACAGATTCATCATTATTCTTCATTGTTGTATAGTACTCCATTGTGAGTATGTACCAAAATTTGTTGATCCATTCTTCCATTGATGGGTATTTAGGCTGTTTGCATCTTTTTGCTACTGTGAATAGTGAGTGCTATGATGAACATTGGTGGCATATATCTACTGTGTCCTGGATCTTATTCCTTGTGGATATATATCAAATAAAGAGATTACTGGGTCACATGGTGACCAGAATTGATTTCTATTTCCAACTTTTTGAGGAATCATTGCACCATTTTCCAGAGTGGTTGAACCATTTTGTGTCCCAGCAGCAATGCAGGATGGTCCCAGTCGCTCCACACCCTCACTAACACTTGTTATTATCTGTTTTTTTGAATCTAGCTATTAATTCTGGTGTGAGATGATATTCCTTCCTTCTTTTGATTTGCATCTCTCCAATAGATAGTGATTGTGAATATTTCTTCATATGTTTGTTGAATGTCTGAATGTCTTATTTGGTGAAGTGTCTGTTCATGTCCCATGTCCATTTTTCAATTGGGTTGTTTGTCTTTTTGTTATAGAAGTGCTGCCATTTTCTATAAGATATTAGAGATTCGCCTGTTGTCTGATATGTCATTGCAAAAACCTTTCCCCAGTCTGTTGGCTCCCTTGTTACTTTTTTTGCAAAGTCAGTGTACTCAAGTATCTGATTTTTATGAGATCCTAGTTACCTTTTTTGTCTTCTGCTGTTTTTGTGGTTTTAATAATATTTGATAGTATATATGCCATGTATTTGTTGTTGTTGTTGTGAAGTGCCATCGAGTCAATTCCAACCCATAGCGACCCTGTATAGGGTTCTGGAGGACCAGCTGGTGAGCTTGAACCACCAACCTTGCAGTTCAAGTGGCTTTGCAGTCTGGTGCATTAACCGACAGCACCACACCAGGACTCCCATGCCATGTATTAGAGCCCGTAAATTCGTCCCTGTTGTTTCATTGATGATCTTTGTAGTTCTAAGTTTTATGTTTTGGTGCTTAATCCATGTCTAGTTTGTTTTTGTACATGTGATGAGGTATTGGTTTTATTTCATTCTTCTGAAAATTGATTTCCAGTTCTGCCAGCACCATATATTTAAGAGATTATCTCTTCCCCATTTAATGTATTTTGACCATTTGTCAAAGATCAATTGACTTTATGTGGCTGGATTTACTTCTGGGTTCTCAGTTCTGTTCCATTGATCTGTGTCTCTTTCACTGTACCTGCACCAGGCTGCCTTTTTTTTTTTTTTTTTTAAGTATGATCTTTTATATTTTAAGATATAAAAACATTTTACTGAAATAAAAATAAATATTTGTCTTTGTATGATTATTATACTCACATACATATAGTTCCCAGATCTTTGTTTCCAAGTGTCACTCGCTAATAAAAAGGACCTGTGTCTTTTGAAGAAAAGTCTGATTCCATTGCTTGGTCAGGAGAGGGAAACTGAGCACTGAATATTAATTACATTAATAAACTTAGAACAAATTATTGGAACACAAAATACCATTTGGTAAACACCACAGTAATAATAAACATAGGTTAAAAATTACCAATGAGTACAAAAATTGTAAGTCAAAGTACAATGAAAAACAGATTTATACACTCTCAAAGCATCATTAGAGATACTAATTATAAAGGGTAAAACAAGTAATTTTACAATAAGAAACAATGGCAAGAAATATAAATATGGAAACAAAATATTCTTAAACCAAATATAAGATCAGTGGTTTTATTGTTTACAAAATAACATCAGTAAAACAGAAAAAAATATAATCCCATACAGTATCAAGGCTACTCCCTAAATATTTGTTTGTAAAAAAAACAAGGCTTTAAGACTGTAAAACTTAGCTTGTACAGATAAAGAAATATACACTGAGGAGGAATTTCCACAGTTACCATGAAGCTGTCATTTCTTCCAAAGACAGAAAGTAGGCATGATTCCTTCTTTTAAATTAGTGTTGCTTTGTTACCAAGAAACTCTGTTGTTCAATTGATGATTTTTGGAAATTTTCTGTTTGAAATGGTAATTAGAATCCAACATCCAAATTTTGACAATCTCTTTACTGTGAATTAATGTGAAGTGAGGGGTGAGGAATGATTAAAGGCTTTCTCACATTCCTATATTCATAAGACCACTCCATTGTGAGTTCTTCTATGCCTACTGAGGTGTGCTGACTGCGTAAAGGTTTTCCCACATTGTTTACATTCATATGGTCTAGCTCCACTGTGCGTTCTTACATGTACAGTGAGGGCTGAAGCCTGAATAAAGGCTTTCCCACATTTCCTACATTCATAGGGCTTCTGTCCAGTGTGAGATAGTATGTGTATCCTTAGGGCTGAAGCCTGAGTAAAAGCTTTCCCACATTCCTTACATTCATAAGGCTTCTCTCCACTGTGAGATCTTTTATGTGTAGTGAGAACTGCTGCCTGACTAAAGGCTTTCCCACATTCCTGACATTCATAAGGTCTCTCTCCACTGTGAATTCTTGTATGTTTAGTAAGTTGTGAAGCCTGACTAAAGGCTTTCTTCACACATTCCTTACATTCATAAGGCCTCTCTCCACTGTGAAGTCTTATATGTGAAGTGAGGTTTGAGGAATGAATAAAGGTTTTCTCACATTCCTTACATTCATAAGGCTTCTCTCCACTATGAATTCTTGTATGTTGAGTAAGGAATGAGGCCTGAATAAAGGCCTTCCCACATTCCTTACACTCATAAGGCCCAATTCCACTGTGAGTTCTTGTCTGTAAAGTGAGGCTTGATAACTGAGCAAAGGATTTTCCACATTCTTTACATTCAAGGAGCTTTTCTCCATTGTGAGTTCTTATATGTGTGGTGAGGTGTGATGCTTGACTAAAGGGTTTCTCACATTCTTTACATTCATAAGGCTTCTCTCCACTATGAGTTCTTATATGAGTAGTGAGGTGTGAGGCCTGACTAAAGGCTTTCCCACACTTCTTACATTCATAAGGTTTCTCTCCACTGTGAGTTCGTCTATGTTTAGTGAGGTTTGGAACCTGACTAAAGGCTTTCCCACATTCCTTACATTCATAAGGCCTAATTCCACTGTGAGTTCTGATAGGTGTAGTGAGGTTAGATGACTTAGCAAAAGCTTTCCCACATTCCTTACATTCATAAGGCCTCTCTCCACTGTGAGTTTTTATGTGTTCAATGAGGTGTGAGGAACGACTAAAGGTTTTTCCACATTCCTGACATTCATAAGGACTTGCTCCACTGTGAGTTTTTACATGTCTAATGCGGGCTGAAGAACCACTTAAGGCTTTTCCACATTCTTTACATTCACAAGCCATATGTCTGTTATGCTTTTTATGTAAAATGAGGAGTGAAGGAGTAGAGGTTTTACAATGCTCTTTGAATTCATGCTTATGACCTTTCACATGTGTCCAAAAGGATGAGAAACTACAGAAATGCTTCCCACGTTCATTACACTCACAGTGTTTCTCAACAGTGAGTGCTGTCACTGAATTCTTCAGGGTTGAGATACAAGCATTATCTTTACCACGTGCTTTATACTTATGGGGTTTCTTTCTAGTAAACGCTCTCATAGGAGTGTTTAGATGAGAGGGATAACTGCAAACTGTTCCACATTCCTTACACTGGCAGCTAGTGCATCCAGTGTGAGATGTGCTATGAGGTTTATGTGATGAGTGATCCATGAAGCCTTTTCCACACTCCCACCATTCAAAACGACTTGCTTCTGGAGCATTTTCCTTTACCACAGTAAGATCTGGAATCCAGCTGAAAGTATTCCCATATTGGTTGCCTTCAATATCTTCACAGAGGTTCTCAATGTAGGATTTCTCAAATGGTTTTTAAGGCTTTTGTACTGCTCTTTATTATTACATGATTCAGAGACTTCTCCTAACATGAGGGTCCAGGTGTTATTCTTCATGAATTGCAACATTTGTTCACAGGATAGCTTATCTCCATCATTAAGGTTTTGAGAGACTGACTACTGAGGCCAGGTTTTTGAAGGCTTCCATCATCACATCTCTGTAGATTTGCCTTTGAGCAATATCCAGCAAAGCCCATTCTTCCTGGCTAAAGACCACAGCCACATCCTCAATGACCACTGAGTGCATTTCCTTGCTCCAGCTGGAAGTAGAAGGGAATATCGTATCTGTGCTCAAAAAGCCAGTTCAGTAAGAGGGATGCAAGTGGAATCAGAGCACTGGGCAGTTTGGAGACAGATGAATGTGTGGTCCACACACCAGTCAGAGCAGCTGAAATCCTTTCTTGTGATTTACAGATGTGCAAAATGATTGCCCTAAGTCCCCAGCTGGACAGACTGGACTAGTTCTCCAAGAACCACACTTGAGATCTCACATAGCTTGAAAAAACGGATGAAATAGGACTGTCGAACAGGCTGCACCAGGCTGTTTTGACCACTCTGACTGTGTAGTAAATTTTGAGAGCAGGGAGGGAGAGGTCTCCAGTTTTGTTCTTCTTAAGCAGTGCTTTGCTTATCTGAGTTCTCTTTTCTGTCCATATAAAGTTCATGATCATTGTTTCCCATCTCTTTAAAGAATGATATTTTCACAGTGTTAAGTATACCTATCCATGAGCATGGTATATTTTTCCATTTTCTAAATCTTTTGATTTATTATAGTAGTGTTTTATAGTTTTGGGGTTTTTTTTTTTTTGCATAGGCCTTTTGTTTCTCTTGATGAATTTTCTCCTAAATATTTCATCTTTTGGGTGGCTATTGTAAAGGTATTGTTTCCCTAATTTATATTTCAGACCTGTCTTTATTTGTGTATGGGAATCCACCTGATTTTTGTGCTCTGATCTTTTACCCTGCCACTTTGTTGAATCTTTCAGTGAGTTCCACTTTATTCCTGCTGAGTCTTTGAGATTTTCTATGTGTAGCATCATATCATATGCAAATAAGAGTTTTACTTTTTCCTTGATGATTTGGATGCCTTTAATTTCTCTATCTTGTGTTATAGCTTTGACTAAGACTTCCAACACAATATTAAATAAGAGCAGTGATAGAGGACTTTCTTGTCTAGGTCCTGTTAGCAAAGGAAATGCTGTCAGCTTCTCAATTATATTGAGGAATTTTCCTTCAATTCCAAATTTGTTGAGTGGTTTTTTTAAAAATTAGGAATGGAAGAAGTTCAAGGTGAACTGAAGGTATAAGCAAAGAACAAGGAAGGCTCTGGGAATTGATGGAAAACAAATTTAAGTCTTTCAACAAACTCATATAGCAATCTAGGCGCTCACTCATCTATACCAAGAAATTTTGAAGACAGCTACTTGGCCAACTGTTTGGAAGATTTATTAGTTGCTTAATATATGTAGGTGTTTTATTTCTTATCTGACTATTATTCACTGTATTGACTATGCAAAGGCTTTCTACTGTATGTATCATTGGAATCTATGGAGAACATTGTGAAGAAAGGGTGTTCCAGAATACTTAATTGTGTTCATAAGGAACCTGTACATAGAACAAGAGGCAGTTGTTTGAACAGAACAATGGGACACTCAATGATTTAAAAACATGAAAATTGTGTTGTATTCTCTAACCATATTTATGCAATATGTGTGCTGAGTAAATAATCTGAAAGTTGACTTATATGAAGAAGAACATTACATCAGGATTCGAGGAAGACTTATTAACAGCCTGCAGCATACAGATGTTACTATCTGCATGCTGAAAGGGAAGATGAATTAAAATATTTATTGTTGAAGATCAAGTACCACAGTGTTCATTCAGTATGAGTTGTACCTCAATGTAAAGAAAACAAAAATCCTGACAACTGGGTCAATAAATACTATCATAATAAATGTAGGAAAGCTTGAAGTTATCAAAGACTTCTTTTTGCTTGGATCCATTATCAACAATCATGCAAGCAGCAGTCAAGAAATCAAATGACATATTGCATTTATTAAATATGCTACACAAGATCTCTTCAAAGTTTTGAACAGCAAAGATGTTAGTTTGATCACTAAGGTGTGCCTAACTCAAGCCATAGTATTTTCAGTAGCCTCATATGCATGTGAAAGCTGGACAAGGAATAAGTAAGATTAGAATAATTGATGTATTTAAAATATAGTGTTGGCTGTTGTTGTTGGTGGTGTTACTTATCTTTGAGTCAGTTCCCACTCACAGCAACCCTATATAGCATTTCCAAGGAGTGGCTGGTAAGTTTGAACTGCTGACCTCATGGTTCAAACCGACTTTGCAGTGCAGTGCATTAACCCACAGTGCTACACACACAAGTTTGAAGGAGAATATTAAACGTACCAGGGACTGCCAGAAAAACAAACAAATCTGAATTTTAAGAAGTACAACCAGAGCATTGTCATGCTCTTTAGAAGCCATGATGATGAGACTTTGTCTGTTGCTTTGTACATACCAGGAGGGCTAAATCCCTGGATAAGAGCAGCATGCTTAGTAATATAGCTTTCATCTGCAGGTAGTGGAAAATTTATTAGATATTTGAATGATTAGAAAAATATGTAAGATAAACTCTGTAGAAATTTCAGTCAATTTGTGGAAGTCATGTGGTGTGATATTAGGATTTCCTCTTATAGTTTAGAACTAACTATGAGAGACAGTATGATAGAGTTAGACTTCCTTGGTTTGTTTCTTAGTTACACTGTAATTGTTACTTATCCTTAGCAAGTTGCTTAAATTGTTTGTTCCATAATTTCGTCAGATGAAATATGGGGATAATAATATTGTGCTACTCATAGACTGATAGTATGAAATAAGTCAGTCCATATACAGCAATTAAGATAGGTCTGGATGCATGATATATTTGTTATAGTCATATGTTTTGTTTTTAACTACTAAGAGAAAAAGTAGAAATATACTTGATGTTTGTTATTGTTGTTAGGTGCAAGCGAGTCAGTACTGACTCATAATGACCCTATACACAACAGAACAAAACAACCATACAAAAGCAAAAATGACAAATACTTCTGTTAATTAACTAGAATTTGGGATTAATGGGCTTTTGTACAGAGTCTTGATATGGTGCTGTAGGATAAGCACTAGAGTGCTAACCGCAAGGATGACAGTTCAATCCCACCAGCCACTACTTGGAGACCCTATGCAGGGTCATATGAGTTGAAACTAGAACATACAAATTTCAAAGTAGATGAAAAACAAAGCTTCTATGTTGTTGCTAAGTGCTGTTGAGTTGATTCTAACCCATAGTGACCCTATATGGGGATTCCAAGGAGCAACTGGTGAGCTTGAACCGCTGACCTTGCAGTGCAAATGGCTTTGGAGTCCAGCGCTTTAACCCACATTGTCACACCAGGACTTCTATAATGGTTGTATATTTAATATCCTGGGGGAAAAATTGGTCTAATATATTGAAATTATTATTTTCACAATAGATCCTTAGCATTGGTTTAAACAATTATCTGTTTATCCTTAGTTTAATAAAGCTCAGAAAGTAATTTTTGTTTAAAATTACATATTTTGTATACAATATTTCTTTGGTTCAGAATCATATATCAAATGTTAGAAAACTAGAATAATGCCTCAAACTTCCATAGATGTACAAAACCATTTTCACATATGAATACATGGTACTTTGACATATAAAACTTGATATTTGGCTAAATTCTTATTCATATAGGACAGATATAATAAGAAAATTTATGTCTAATTCATTTGATGACCTATGTAGTAATCATTAAATCAATCCTATATATA